AGCTGGATGTAGTGTTCCCTGTGATGAGACTGGTAATCAACCCCATGGTGGAATCTATTGTGAGCAGCTGAGTAGCTGTCTTAGGGATGTGGTCTGCTTCCTGTATATAAAGAGAAGCCTCAGGCACAGTCTCTAGCTTATGGCACGCTTGAACCCTGCATGTAGTCATGTCCTTGTTCAGCAGCCTGCCATGCTCTGCCAACCTTGGGACTTTCAATGGACTTGAATTAATGGCCTGCCTTGTGGTTTGGTAACATCAGGACTGTGCCTTGTTACTTATGAACCTTAGGTTTGTCAGCCTTGGAAGCCAGCAGCTGTCTGAGTGAAGAAAAGCCTCCAGCTTCAGTGGGCCCTGAGTAGGAGGCAGAGCTGAAGCCTAAAGTTGAGGGGCTTTCACCCAGCCCCTAGAGCATGGCACCTTGAACTCGGACTTAAAGCCTCTAAACTGTAAAAGAATAAACTCCAGTCTGTTTAAGCCATCCCATTTGTGGTACATTCCTATCAGAGTGGCGCTAGGTAACCAAAACCACAGTCAAGTGTGTTCACGGCTTGAACCACCCTGGGAGTCCAGAACAGCACTAGTGGGTTCATTTTGCTTCAGTGGAGGGCCTTCCTGGTCTCTTCACGATCCCTGTTCTGGCCTGTTTGTTATGCAGCTGATCATCAGTGACGCTTGCTTTGTACCAGAAAAAGACAGGGCCATGTCAGTCCCACTGAGTTTATAGTCTCAACCAACATGTGGCAACGCTGAGGCTCTGACAAACTGGCAAGAAATCCACATTCGTTTCCTCTCCTACAGGTTGGCTCCAGTCACAGAAGATCAGGAAACAAGGTGGGTGTGAAGCCGGCTGGTTGGTGCCTCTTTGGAAATGTTCTAAGTGGAGCCCATCCCAGGAGAGACATGCACCATTGTATTGGGAGAAGGTTGGCTGCATGGGGCAGTCAGGGAGGCATGATTACAGTGACACCAACACCAGGGAGCACCATTTCTGTGGACCAGCATGTGAATGAGGTCCCAGAGCTGGGGGACATAGCAGCTTAACCATGGTGCCCACATCGAGCCAGGCCCCGAAACCAGGATATGCCTCAGTGACAGAGTGGACCACCTGCCCACGGCCTGTCTTGATGTCTTAGCCTGGCTTCAGATGCCACAGAAGTTGCTCCAAGACCTCCTTCAGGTTCAGTGATTCACTAGAAAGACTCCCAGAATTAGAAAAATGCAGCAAAGTCGTTATACTCGCGGTTACAGTTTATTACAGCAAAAGGATACAAGTCAAAATCAGTAATGTGAAAGGCATGTAGGGCATAGAAGAGACCAGGCATGAGCTTCCAGATGTCCTCACCCAGTGGAGTTGTACAAACAGTGGCTATTTCTTCCAACAGTGATGAGCGACAATGTGCTGAAAAGTATTGGCAACCAGGGAAACTCTCTTCAGCCTTGGTGTCTTAGTTCTGTAGTTGCTACTATAACAGAAATACCACAAGTGGGTGACTTTAAGAAACAGAAATTTATTTCCTCACAGTTTGGAAGGGTAGGATTCCAAATTGAGGGTGCCAGCTTTAGGGGAAGACTTTCTCTATTGGCTCACAATTTAGGAGATCCTTGGAGATCTCCATCTGTCTTGGCATCAACCTTCCCCTAGGTCTAAGAGGTTCTCAGGCGGGGACCCTGGGTCCAAAGGACACACTCAGCTCCCAGCTCTTCCTTCTTGG